AAGGACTACGATAGATGTTGTGACAAAATCGTATGCTTCGAAGAACTTTGTTCTGTACATTTCTTTTGCGGAGGTAAAGTTCTGCTCATTTGCTTGCACAAAGCCAAAGAAATCAGTCAGACTTTTTGGATGTCTCTGCTTTCTTAGAAGTTCCGCATTGTTGATGTCAAGTTCTTCTCTCTTTTCAGAAACATATTCCCAAAAGTAACAAATTGAATAATGTATCATTCACTTTTGTAACGTTACCGACCGAGTTTTAGTAAGAAAAACGAAGAGAGAATGTCACAGTAGTAATTTATTGCTGGTCATACATCAAACTGCTGACTGCCAGGGGTTGTAACTGACCCCTAACCGGTGAACCTTAAGGAACAACACTACACCCCCCACCCTTTCGGTCATAAAGTTCTTTGCAAGGTGAGTCTTTTAGGTGGCCGGACATGCCGACCCCTTCTGGTGTATTTTTGTTGACAGTTTGGTTAGGGAAGTCTGTTGATTCTTCTTCAAAGACATACTTGAATTCGTATCGAGGAGAACTTGGTAAGGTAGTTATCTCCTATGGTGTAACCGCTTGAGGGAAGCTGATGTCTCTGTTCCTTAGGCGAATATCGTTTTTGTTGGATTTGTATAGTCCTGAGTCTGTCTTAACTAGGACTGACCTTGGTGACAGAGTCTTGCTTATTGTAGCGGGACTGACATTGGGTGTCTTGACCCAGACTGGCTGTCTTTTTTTCGAAGGAATGACGCTCTTTCGCCTGATGACGTTTGTTATAATTTTGGTTCTGGCTGGCTTTTAGATGTATGTTCCTTAATACTTTTTTGATCGAAGAAATTGGTCTGAGGAACGGAAGGGATCCACGTTCTCAATTTTCTGTTCATCAGTAGCTCTGGGGGGCTCTTACCATGTTGTCGAGGAGTGATGTGATAATTAAGCAGTGCTACTTATGGGTCACATGCTTCTTTGAATAGGTTTTTAACAGTTTGGACTGCACGTTCGGCCTCTACCTTTCCTTGTGGTGGGGGCTACTTGAGAGGTACAGAAAGCCAAAAACATTTGAAATATTCTGGACTCCCCTTGCACTGAATGTGGGACCATTGTTTGAAATGATTATTTCTGGGTTTCCATGCCTAGCGAATGTCGATTTGCAATTTTCTATTACAGTAGCTGAAGTGGTTGTCTGGGCTATTTCGATCCACCTAGAAAAATAATCGATTATCAGGAGATATCTTTGTCCTTGAATTCGAACAGGTCCATTCCCACTTTTTGCCATGGCTATTCGGGTAATTTTGTAGGTTGTAGTGGTTCTGGGGTTATATTCTTTCCTTTTTGCAGATGCCACATGCTCCGACCTTGTCTGCAATTTGCTTCGAGGCCGGACCACCACACACTTTCCCGAGCTAGTGCTCGACATTTGGCGATACCTTGGTGTCCCTCGTGTAGATGCTCAAGTATATCTTTTTAGAGTTCGGCAGAGATTACGTCGGCTCTGGTATATTAGGAGTTAGGTCCTGGTTAAGGAAACAGAACAGTTTTACTTCGGGATCTCGCTTTGTGGTTTCAGGCCAAGTGGTCCCTCTTGTAATAGCTGATGACTGCAGACATTGTCAACATTTTGCTTCAGTCTGATTTCCTCCAAGCGTTTGTCGCTTACTGAGATATTTACTATGATTGTACGGATAAATGAGTCTGTCTCCGTCTCCTGCTGGATATCCTGTATAACTGGACTACTCCCGAGTGTACGGGACAAAGTGTCTGTTGGGGTGATGTCGTTTTCTACAGTCAACATAATATCATAAGAGGATCTCATTAGCCTCATGCGGAAACGTTGGATCCTTGTTGGATTCATCCAGCCGCTTTGTTATCTTAAATGGAAGCCGTTTGAAGCAGTACTTCTCATATGGCGTTATAAATGTGATAAGTTCCCGTGATTTTTCGTGGAGGATGATTTGGTAGAAACCGCTGTTGCAATCGAGCTTGTTAAATATTGTGCATTCGTCGAGTTCGGATAGTAGCTGATCTGTGGTGGGTACATGAAATTTCTCCCTTCTCATGCTTTCATTTAGTTTGGTAAAGTCGACACACAATCTAACTTTACCGTTGCTTTATCTTTTAGACAGCGACTATTGGGGAGGAGCGCACACTAATCCGTTCGCGATTTCACTTGACGGATTATGTCATCCTTCACCAAACGCTTCAGTTCTTCGTGAACTTTCTGTTGCAGTGGCAGTCTTCTAGGGGTAGCTTGCTGCAAACTTCAACCGCTGAAACCTCGGGTGATTGAGATTATCAGGATAGGATGAGGTCGGCAACGTAGCCTGTCAGCGATATATTTGGGGTGATGACTGAAAATTACCTTCTACTTTTTGGCTGTACACATGGGTTCCATTCGGACACCATGTGTATATAAAGTAGTTTCTGGTAATTGTTTTTGGTTAGGTTCGTATATGTAAATGTTTCGTTTTTTTTAGTTTGTGTGAGACGTTGACTTAAAAACGCTGAGTCACCGGAAGTTAACGCATTCGTTATGTTTTCCGCGGTGACGCTTTTAGATGTTTGAGTAGCCGGCAGTAACTTCCGGCCGGGTGCGATAAGGCCCCCTTTCTAGAGGATTGATCGTGATCAATTCACAAAAAAATGTAAGTCTTTAGTTTGGCAGGAAAATGAACTCTTCTGCCTGATTTTGTTCGTACGACTGGTGTTGTTGTTTCATCTTCCGTCGTTGTTGGTAAGTCTGGCTCGGGAGAAGTTTCCTCTAACCAAGCTGGTTTAAGTCGGTCGATGGAGACTGTATCTTTGTTTTGCCGCGCATGATCGTGACAAATTTCTTAGAACGCTTCAGAACTTTAAAGGGCCTTGGTAGCTAGGTGTGAGAGGTTTTTTACGGCGTCGTTCCTAACAAAAACAAAATCGCAGGTATCCAATTTCTGCGGTAAGTAGGAGCTTTTGGTTTGTTGTCGTGGGGGAGTGTATGTAAGTTTGTCCATTTTTTGGCGCAGATCTTGCACGAAAGAACTTGGTGAGGTTGTGCAAGAGTACTGCGGAAGGTGAAAATATTGTCCTGGTAAGGAGAGAGGCGTGCCAAACACGAGCTCCGCTGTCGAACACCCTAAATCAGTTTTGAAGGTATTCCGCAAAGAGAGCATGGTCATGGGGAGGTTGTCGACCCAGTTGTGTATGCCGAGTTTGGTTGACAGGGACGTCTTTAAGGATCGGTGAAATCTCTCCACGAGGCCGTTTGCGCAAGGATGGTAAGCCGTCGTTTTAATGTGTCTGACACCCAAAAACTGAAATTGTGGTCCCCGATCTGTAGTGAGAACTTGGGGTACGCCAAAGTTTGTAATCCAGTTGGTGAGAATGGCTTTAGAAACTGTGGTAGCGGAAATGTCCTTAATCAGCACAGCGACTGGCCATCTCGAAAAACGGTCTATGATGGTTAGAAGGTATTGGTACCCCTGGCACATTGGTAGAGGCCCGACGAGGCCAACGTGGATGTGGCTGAAACGTGCGTCGGGTGTGGCGAATGTTCCAACTGGTGATTTTGTGTGCCTCTGAATTTTGCATTTTTGACATTGTATGCATGTTGAGACCCAATTCCTAATGTCTGAATTCATGTTGGGCCACACAAATCGATCGGCAATAAGCTTGACGGTTGCTCGCTTGCTCGGATGGGATAGATTGTGGAGATGGAGAAATACTTTTTTTCTAAGAGATGGAGGAATGTACGGTCTTGGAGTATCCAGTGCGGTGTCACAGAAAAGAGTTTTATCGCTGAACGGACACAGGAATTCCTGCAGTTTCAAAGAAGTCTCCTTAATGATGTCAGATATCGTCGTATCGTCTTTTTGTTTGTCGGCTATCAGCTCCTGGCTCCAAACGTCGTTATCCATGGTATTGACGTCTGTTCTGGACAATGTGTCTGCGACGGTGTTGTTCTTTCCTTGGACGTGTCTGATGTCCGTCGTAAACTGTGAGATGTAGTCGAGGTGACGTGTTTCACGGGATGTATACTTGTCTGCGCTGACATTCATCGCGTTGATCAGTGGTTTGTGATCCGTGAAGATAGTGAAATGTCTGCCTTCCAGAAGATGTCGAAAATGACGTATGGACAGGTAGATCGCCAGGAGTTCTCGTGAGAAGGTGCTGTATCTTCTCTGGGCTGCAGAGAGTTTAGCTGAGAAGAAGGCTATCGGCTGTCTCGTCATGTTCACTTGCTGCTCCACTACTGCTCCTATTCCAACGTCGGAAGCGTCTGTTGTAAGGAAAATTCTTGTTTCCGGGTCGTTTTCGATGAATGAGAGTTTTGTGAAGTTTATCAGCGCTGTCTTTGCCGTTTCGAAAGCCCGCAAAATTATCTCCCTCTAGGGTAATTTGTTTATTCTTCCGCTCTATGAGGTTTGTCAACGGTGAGAGAATTGTCGAGCAGTCGGGGATGAACCTGCGGTAAAAATGTATCATACCGATAAATCGTCTGATTTGTTTTGTGGATGTAGGCGTAGGGAAATTTTTAATTGCGTCGATTTTCTCGGGTAATGGTGTGATACCATCTTTGTCGATACGATGGCCTAAGAAATTCACCTCAGATGCCCCGAAAGTGCATTTGTCGATGTTCAGCCGGAGTACATAAAGTGCTATCCTTTGGAACACTTCGTTTAGATGTTGTTTGTGTGTGTTTTCATCTGTGCAGGCTACTAGTATGTCAACGATGTAGGCATATGCGTACGTTAGGCCGCGGAGTACCTCATCTATGAAGCGTTGAAACGTTTGTGCTGCATTTCTCAGGCCAAAGGGCATCTTGAGGTATTCGAAGAGACCAAAGGGAGTGGTTACGGTGGTCTTTGGGATGTCCTCCGGAGCTATGGGGATCTGGTGGTAAGCCTTAGTTAGGTCTATCTTCGAAAAGACGCGAGTGCCCTGCAACCCTGAGGCGAAATCGTGTATGTGCGGGACCGGATAGCGATCGGGTATGGTTGTGGCGTTCAATCTTCTATAATCGACACATACTTTAGTCTGTGCTTCCCGGTTTAGGTACGAGATGTAGGGGTGAGGCGTATGGGCTATCGGAGGGTCGTATGAATCCGTCCTTCAGCATATTTTTAAATTCCTTTTGGGTGTATTCCAGCTTATGAGGAGGAAGTCGTCGTGGGTGGGAAAATGTTGGCTGTCCACTGGTCTTTATATGGTGCTGTGTTTGGTGTTTTGCCGGACCGGTACCTGCGAGTGGTTGAATGAGGTCCGGGTATCTGTTTAGAATCTCGATGTACTCTCGTCCGTGGCAAGTTGTTAGACTGATTCCAGTGGTGTTGTGTCGAGAGAGGGTGCCTTTAACAGCAATGTTCGTGGTATTGTCTGATAAAGTCGTCGTATTCATGTGCACGGCTAGATCATAATGGGCCAGGAAATCTGCCCCGAGTATTGGCGTTTTTACGTCTGCCTGGGTGAAAGTCCAGGTAAAATCACGCCGCATGTCGATGTTAAGAGTCAGTGTCTTGGCTCCATATGTCTCGATCGTCGAGCCGTTTGCTGCCTGGAGCTTATACGGGGTCGCCTTTCGGTCTTGCTGTTCTTTGGGGGGTATCACGCTGATTGCTGCTCCTATGTCCACTAAAAACTTTATGTGGTTCCGTCGGTCCCATACGTAGAAAAGGCGGCTTCGTATGTTTTTGCCAGGAGGTTCTGCCGCTCCTACCCGCCGGCTGTTTAGTTTTCCAACTTGGTTTTAGAGCTGTATTTGCAGGGTGCCGAGCAATTCCTTGCCCTGATGCCGAATCTGTGATGGTACCAGCATAATTCCGGGTCGACTCGTCGATCCCTGCTGGTACTCCGTGGTCTCCGCCGCCAACCGCCGGTCGCTGGCATCGGGCCTCTCGATGTGCGGGAAAGGAGCATTCGTATATCCTGCAGCTGATGTTGCAGGTCAGCTACTGCCTTTTCCAGATCCGTGTCTTTGGCTGGTGTGTCGTCTGGGCGCTGCACGGCACACACTCCTTGGTCCAGTTTAGTTGCGATGCGGTCAGCGGAGTTTGCTAACTGGTCTAGTGGAGTATTGTCAGCGATTGATGCCAATATCTGCGTTATGGTAGTGGGTAACTTGTCCATCCACAGTTCGCGCAAGACTGATTCGGCCATTGAATGTTTCCCCAGTCGGCTCCTCATGAAGCGTAGAAGCTGTGAGGGTGTTCTGTCGCCCCTGGTGACGTGGGTAAAAAGTTCCCGGAGCAGTTCCTCGTCCGAACGGCCGGTTCGTTTCAAAATCGCATCCTTGAGGCGAGTATATGGCTCCTGCTCGGGTACATGTTCCAAGATGTCGGCTACTTCATCGACAACTGAAGGTGGCAAAACTTGTACCACGTTGGCGAATTTTGCTTGCTGTGACGTTATTCTCCGTACTGAGAAAATGGCTTCCAACTGCAGAAACCAGTTCTTGGTGTTCTGTTCGTTGTACGGAGGGAGGTTTGTGAGTGGCATTGCTACATTTATGAGAGTGTTCTGTTCCCACTCGTCAGTTGCCATCTTGCTCGATCGTAAATATCGGGGTCACCACTTGTTGCGGCGCTAAGCAGGTTGACTGTTAACCCCGCAAGCAGAAAAATAATATATCGTAATACGATCGAAGCAAGGACAACAAAAACGAGTATGTAAAAGTTTAAGCCAAATTTTATTAAATAATCTGGCACAAGTATATACAAATAATCGTTTGTGGTAGTTCGGTCGTGTAGTTTTGAAGGAGCGTTGTCAGGTTTCAAGGCGACAGCTTGGAGGTAGGCCGATGGAACAGCGGTGTTCGAGGTCCAGTCGATCCCTGGATGTCTGTACTTGAGTAAAAAGCGCGTCGGCGCTTGAGGAGAGAGAGGATCGACGCGGACAGCGCTGGTGTAGTCAGTTCGTCCTTGGGTAGACTGTCGTGCAGGATCGCAGCTTGGTAGTCCTAATAAAAGGACGTTCGTAATAACGCGGCTAGGTTAGTCCTGAAAAGGACTATTGCATATTATGTAACCAGGCGTAGTCTGGAAAAACGACGACTAGTGCATATCATGTAACCGAGGGTAGTGCATATCATGTAACCGGGGTAGACTAGTGCATATCATGTAACCGAGGATAGACTAGTGCATATCATGTAACCGAATGTAGGCTAGTGCATATCATGTAGCCGAGGATAGACTAGTGCATATCATGTAACCGAGTTTAGGCTAGTGCATATCATGTAACCGAGGATAGACTGCTTCGCTGCTGCTGCTGATCAAGTAGCCGGCTGGCTGCTGCTGATTGGAGCTGCGTCGGCTGGCTGCTGCCTGCTGCTGCTGCTGCTGATGAAGCCGGGCTGCTCTGCTGCTGCTGGCTCTAGCTGCTGCTGATGAAGCTGGGCTGCTGCTGGCTCTAGCTGCTTCGTGTGGTCAGCGAAGGTGAGAGGGGGAGCTCGTCGCTCAACCCCGATGCCAAAAATCAGCCGGGAGAATTAATTTGGTGGAAGAAATCCGCTGTGTTTATATAGGCTGAGGTCGGCAACGTAGCCTGTCAGCGATATATTTGGGGTGATGACTGAAAATTACCTTCTACTTTTTGGCTGTACACATGGGTTCCATTCGGACACCATGTGTATATAAAGTAGTTTCTGGTAATTGTTTTTGGTTAGGAAAGTTCGTATATGTAAATGTTTCGTTTTTTTTAGTTTGTGTGAGACGTTGACTGAAAAACGCCGAGTCACCGGAAGTTAATGCATTCGTTATGTTTTCCGCGGTGACGCTTTTAGATGTTTGAGTAGCCGGCAGTAACTTCCGGCCGGGTGCGATACTTAACAATAAAAGAAGAAAATATTTATTTACATGAACAAACAAAAAAAAAAAAGAGTATAAGGATATACAAAATTACGAGAGAAAGAAATGGAAACAAAATTTATTTTACTGTAAACAGAATGAAAAAGTGTTTATTTAAAAAAAAAGGCATGCAGAAAAATATTTGTCTGGTCACCTAAAATCCAACTTTAAGCGATAAGTCGATTGTTGAAGGTTTAAAACACAAAGATTTGTTGAGACATTACTTGTATAGGAGTTAACTGTCGGAAGATTTGATTTTCGTTTTCATTAAATGTGTTTGTAGGCCGGCGACAGATATCTTCTAAAAAAGGGCAGATTTCAATTGGTTTTAGTTTGGGCTGACGCTCTTTCTTGACAACCCATAGTAGGTTTTACTTTTTTGAAGATGACTATTTTCTGCCGTTTACCTGATGGTATCGCAGACGGTGGTCGAATACTCACTTTCAAACAGGCGTAAATTATCAAACTATTTATGGAACATAGGTGGCTCAGAAAATATCGGGAACTTTTTTCAACTAAAATTGCTATACACATTTGCCTGGCCATTTCATTTGTTAGAAAATATATTCTTATTCTGATTTAATTTAAATTTTCTTATTTGCTGTTTGGAAGCATTGTCCGACAAGTTGTGAGCGTAACACCCAGACTTTATGGCACCATGCTCAAGGTAATGGTGGTCAAATTCTTTTTTATATTTCCAACTCACTTCGTTCGTTAGAAAATATATTCTTATCTCTGATAAGGAACAAGGCTTTGGAAGCCGGATTTGAAAGCAAGGGGAAAAAAATGAGATGGGGATTAAAAAAGAGGCTAGAATGTGAACCTGTAATATATTGTAGTCGTCGTTCTCTAATAAATACTCCTCCGATATCTTTTTGTCGTGTTTTGTAAATATTTTCTGTTATGGAGTAGAAAGTAAAGTTTGGGCGTGTTTAAATAAGATATATATCTGAGTATGTAATTGTGTTGGAAAATGCGTTTATTTCCTAAACTTCGAAACACATCTCTATTGAATTTTAAAAAGAGTTTTAAATTTGTTGTTTACAAATGAGTCGATGAGTGACGAAAAAAGTTACTAAACTAATGCTTTAGAAAATTCCTAAAATTTCATTTTTATACGGACATTCATTTTTCTTTTAATTCCAATTAGCTTTAGAGACAATTATCTTTTAAATAAACCAAAATTTAAGTTCAAAGAAGTCATTTAAAAATAAAATATTTATGTTTTTCGGGTTTCTTTAGAAAGTCAGCGGCGGTATCTAGGTTTAACAAACTTCAGTAGAAAGTCAGATAATGTGAGAATTTGGATAGTAGACGGTAATTTTGGTGTCAGCTGTTATTTTTTTCTTTTGTTCACCATTTTTTTTTTTTTTGAACTTGACGAAACTGATTTTCATTCAATTCTCGACAACGTGTTGTAGTTGTCGAGAACTGAATAGAAATCAGTTTTTGTTCGTCACAACAAACTCATTTGGAATGTACACAACAAACTCATTAGGAATAATTAAATTTAGTAGCAGCCAAATGATTTCGAGTTGAAAATTTAAGGCTCATCTTTCTGTTGTTTTTGTCACTGTTTTATTTTTGGCCAATCAACATCAAGAAACAAAAATATTTGCCAACTTTTGTCTGTGAAGGCCGTCATGAATAGAAACCATCGCCACCTGTTCTGGACTTTTTGCTTTGTCATATGCAATAAAGTTATTTCCATAGCCATAAAACCACGTATTTCATTTGACGCATATAGCAGCTAGCTGCACAAAAAGAAGAACGTTACTTTTTCGCTTTTACTGGTATATGGAAAAGAAAGCATTATGACCCCCAGGTCAGGTGTTACTAGCTTATCCGTCCCCTCTAACAGCTATCACCGCAGGGGAGGCTATTACGGGCCAAGATTGGGTCATATAAGAAAGTGATTGCATCCAGGTGGCGAACACTGGAATTGGAAATAAACGACTTTCTCAGTCGATAAGAATCCACTGATCAATACTCTCGGTGGCTAAAGAAGTCGTCTGCGCGTTCACAATTGTTAAACAATTCTGAAATCTTTTTATGTTTTTTCAATTTTAAAATAACAAAACTAAGAATTGAAGCTATTAGAAAATGTTACTGAATCTATGCTTTCTCAACACTTTGTTCTTTTTCCAACAACACTGTGAAAAACAAAACTTAAAACTCATTAGTCATTTTAATAACAGTTTGAATCATAAAGAATAGATGTCTAATAAGAATATCAAATAAAGTACCAGACACATAAGAATGGATAAATAGATTCAGTAACATTTGAAATATCTTAACTAAATGATGATATAAAATTCCTTTAGAAATTTGACAAATTCTGACTGGCACTGGATTTGTTATAAAAATCAATGTGAAAAAAATTGCAACACTCTGCCACTTACTACTGCTTACAAGCAAAGACATTATTAACCAATGACGTGTTCAGATGCAATTTTTATTTTATTCTATTATTCTATAAGCCTCGATTCTAAGCCTGTTTATGACAATGTTGCGTCTAGCACAAGGTAATAAAAATTGAATATTCTAGCAAAAAAAGACTGAGAAAAAAATTATGCTTGAGATTATTTTCCACCAATCAGAAGAAACCCATGATAATGTGAAAAATTACCTTTGTGAACTGGCCAACTTAAATATATGAAAGTTTGTTGGCCAGTTAAAATTACCATTCATTCATGCCTCGTAAGAATGAATAGTCAGGACAGATGAAGCCAAGCATATAAATTAACATTTCCAGCTGAGAGCAAGAACTTTATCAAAACTAAAACTGACAATTTTTTTAAACTACCTTCAAACAGAGCAAGTCTTTCTCAAAGCTACATTGCTGCTATCATAATTCCGCATTCCTCATTTTACTATGATTAAATTGACTCCTGACAAATTAAAACATTAACAACAATGTGTGAACTTTTGCTGTATCCTTCCACTAAGGACATTTTTAATTTTATCAACTCATGTAAGTCTCCACTTGACATGAACATTTTTCTTTACCTAAACATTAAATTTTATTAAAAAAAGAACTCAAAAAAATATTTTGAAACAAGCCTTTAAAAAGACTCTTCTTTTCAAAAAATTTAAAGAATAAAACAAATTCTTTCTGTTCAATTTCACACTGAATACATAATGAACGAACAAATTTTATTTTTTTCTGCATAGAAAAATTCTAATATTAAAAAGATGTGTGCAAATTTAAATTCTTTCCAATTCCAGTGGATGCGGTTACACTATCGACAATAGCTTAGCATGACAAAGTAAACACCTGCCTGTTAGCATTAGACACACTTTCAATGAATCCAAATCGAATGGTGCTCAGTAAAAATGGCAGCCAGAAAAAAAATGGCAGGGTAAAAATGGCAACAGTAAAATGGCAATTCGACAACAGAAAATTAAAACCGTTCGAGAAGGATGGGTCTAAGCTCCCATCCTTCTAGTTTAAATGCCAAGTTGGTCTCTCCCCCACCTCAATATTTTAAAATAAATATTTTTGCAAATAGATAAAATTACTCTAGTGTGTTCTGTGTGGGGGGCTGGAATATCTTCTCCTTTGTTTTAAATAAAACACTAAGTTCCTTCACACTTTGAGTATTAAAAACATTTTTTTATAAATTTTCGATGTCCATTTTTATTTCTTTTTGTGTAATGATTTATATTATCTACTGTAATTGCAAATGTAAACGGCTAAATCGTAGCGTGTTTTCAGAAGAATTTGATGACTAATTAATTTTATAATTGATAGCTGACATTAGGATTAGATGTATATATATTTCATTAACTTTTGTTACTTCAAAGATCGTTTAAAATTCTTTATTGCTTTCAGCAAACAAATGCAATTTATAACGTTAATTTTGCAAAGAGAAAATTTTCGAATCGAAATTAATGAAAAGTTTCTCATAACAATCGTTTGACCCAAAATATTTTTAAAATAATTTAAAAAAATTTTATTGAAAACACGTTCATAATTTCTACGTATGGAAATGTATACATGACATAATCCTTAAAAATTTTAAACAATTATCTAATTAATAAAAATTTTAAACTATTATCTAATTAAGAAAGTATGAAATAAAAATAGATATTACATAATTGCCGAATAAAAATGTTAATATTTAAAAGTACTAGTTAAAAAACGAAAATCCGCGTTCGCTTACTTTGCAAAATTGTCAATTTTGATCATCAATAGTAATCTGTCATCACCTCGTCACAATCGATTTCTTTGATAAATT